TGGTTGTCAAGTCAACTTTTGGACTGGCCCGAGGAATCGACCCAACAAGCCTTTGAAGTTTGAACCTACTTCCAGGGCTGGAATATTTCTGGGGTATCCCATCCATCCTGACTTTCTTTGGCGTCACGAATTTCTTGTTATTCCTTTGCGAGATTTGATGGAGAAGGACTATGATTAACGTATTGCTCCATTGAGAGTGAATCAGATCAAATGTCCGGATGGTGAATTCTCTTTTCCGATGGTCGAACGGCACTTATTGCACATGAATGGCGTAATGCCAGGGCTTGAATACGCTCCTGAAACGCCAGATCCCGCTGCATTAGATGCGCCGCTCTTGGAAGAGGATTTGCCGGCAGAGATGCCAGGCCAGGATGACATTGACGATCAGGAACTCGCTGAAAACCTCGGAAAGCTGATCAAAGTTTCCCCCGAAAAGGGGCCCGCGTCGGAAGAAATGATCAAAGTCATCGACTTGAAGACCAGCAAAGACACCTTTGTCCCCAAAGATGGAGGTGCTCATTACGATGCGGGGGGTGTGAAAGCTCGGAGGTATTCGGGATCAAGCAAACCCGACAGTATTCCACCTTTTCTTTGGAAAACAATGTCAACAAAGCAAAGGAGACTCGCCATCATCAAAGAAGAACGAGAGAAGGCTCGCAAGGCTTTCCTCGATGAGCCCGTCTCCGAGGACCCGGAAGCTTCTTCCTCCAAGGCTAGGCCGGCGACCACTGCAGGATTGGAAGATGAGTTTTCAAGCATTCCTCTTATGCCTGTTACACCTTGCGTTGGGCACCACTCTAAAGAGGAGACCGTTGAGGACGCGCTGGATGTTGTGATTTTGCCTGCACTTTCTGCGAATCCCGAAATTGGTCAACATCGTTGCAAAGTTCTTCAAGCTCACCTGCACCCCGTTATTCACGCCATGGTTGCTAGACCGGTGGGGCGGAAGGAGATTGAAAGTAATGCTGATGCCCAAAAATTTATTGATGTGGAGTGGCACAACCTTGAAGGCAAGGGCGCATGGGATTACGACACTGTGCGTGAGTGGTCGCAGGTGGTCAAAGAAGCCAAGGGGAGAAGTGAAAAGGTCCATGTTGGCAAAATGTTTGAAATCTGTGTTGAGAAAGGGAGTGAACTTCAAAAAGGAAACCCTCTTCGCAAGTTTAAGGGAAGGACTGTGTTTCAGGGGAACAACGTAAAAGACGAAAATGCTGAGCAAGCTTTATTCGCTGAACTTGGATCGGCCCCTTCCACCATGGAAGCTGCCAAAGCCATCGATGCTTATGGAGCTATGCCTGGTAACTGCACTCAACAATCCGATGGGCGACAGGCATATACGCAGGCATTATACAAGGGAATCAAGACATGGGTACGCCTCCCAAAATATCGCTGGCCGAAAGGTTGGGCCTCAAAGTATAGCGATCCGGTGGTGCAGCTCATTCTTGCTCTTTACGGCCACCCGGATTCGGGGGGTCTATGGGAGAAGCACTGTGAAGACATTCTCTTATCCCTTGGTTTCCGTCTTGTTTACCCTGGAGCCTGGCCTTCAGTTTTCTGGCATCCGAAACTTCGACTCCTGCTCGCAGTGTACGTCCACGACTTCAAGATGTCGGGACCGGTTCAGAATGTTGCAAAAGGTTGGGAACTCATTTCTTCCAAGATTGACATGGACCCACCTTCGGCTGTTGGTAGGTACCTCGGATGTGAACATGTTGTCACGGAGAAGGTTCAACTTTCGGCTGAACATCATCCTTTCGCTCATGTTTTCAACCATGACCTGGAGGATCCATCTGACAAGACTGCGGCCGCATCTCGCCGAACTCAGGATTACTGGGAACACTATCCAGAACATGGCGTGGTTGTTTGTCAACACGAGCAGCCAAGGCGCAAATTTCGCCGCACGCCTAACGGTGTTGCCAAAGAGATTGGGTTGGGCGGGACGCGGTACACAGAGCGCAGTCCATGTTTTGACAAAGACGGTGCTGCTCAACAGTATTCGCATTTCGATGAAGACGATGATCAGATTCAGACTGTTCCTTTTCTTTGGGTTGGAACCACGTATTTCTTCCATGAAAACGTTGGAAATAACCGCCTAGCGGCTGCGGCCGTGAAGAAGCTCAGGCACAAGACGTCCGCCAAGAAAGCCAATCGAGCCAAAGGTTTTTCATATCTCGATGAACTTTTTCAGCACCAACTTTGCATGGACAAACCCGTCACGCTGGTTACCTACGACATGACCGGATTCCTTAAACAATGCCTTGACAGGTAGGCACGGCCGGAAGGCGGGGGGTGCGCGGGCTGACCGACCCATCAACATCGCCGTCGATGTGGAGATGTTGATCCAATTGGGCTGACGGCTGTGCGCACCCGGAGACGGGGAAGCCCTGGTGACCGAGGATTGGATCACGAACAAGGTCCTCATTTACGCCTACGGCGCAGAGTGTGCGAAGTTCATCTGGTCCAATCGCATGTATGTCAGCGTCAGACGAAATTACCAAGACAGCATCAAGAAGTATCGGGAGGAAACTCAGAACAGCGTTGTCGGGACCCCAGTGCTCGAATCGTTCACGGCGAAGGCCGACAAGGAGTGCAAGCTGTATTACAAGCAGTGGGCCCACAGCTTGCCGCGACATGATGAGACCTCACCGAATTGGGAATGTGACGAAGGTCAGGGACGTTTACGACGAGAACCTCCCGAAGGAGGAGCAAATCGCCCTCGAATTCGAGACCGCTCGTTATGGCCTCTACCGGAACTGGGCTCGAGCTGTGAAACAGCAGCCCGGGGAAACCCGTGGCCGGAGTGGTTTGTGGCAGGACCTGGGCCCCAACAAGCAGAAGTCGACCAATTGGCGCTTCGCGGAGGTCATGCACATCCCCGACGTTGAATGCCCGCGCTGCAAATCCTCATCCCGGTCGGCACCATCAACTGTTACCAGTGTGACCATCTCATGGAGCGCATGCCCGGTATCAAGAAGATAGCAAGGGTTGTCCGATTGCAAGAGATGGCCAACAGTTTGGGCGTGCCACTTTCCATGGACCAGGTTGAGACTCAGATCTTGACGCAGCGGAAGGATGAGCGAGGGGATTGAAGCGCAAGAGGGGGCCTCGGGATCATGAAGGACATCGCCAAGAAAGCAGTTCTTCGCAACAAGGAGTACAGCACATTGTACGAGAGGCTGATCAACGACCCCTTCTACGCCTACACTGCCGCGCGGGGAGACCTGACGCCGTCCGCCCTCGAGTTTATCGAGAAGGTGGCACGATGCATTATTCCGAGTTTCGCAAGAACGAAGGAAATGATCCAAGGAAGCGTTGCTGTGCCGAAATATCACGCACGGCTAACGCTGGTGCCGCCAACCGAGGACGTGCAGGAGGTTGATCCGAAAGACGTGTATGTGGTGCATGGTGGCAGATTTTTGGAAGCAGAACAATTTGCCGCGTTGTATGGAAGCCTTGACAAGACCAACTGCTACCCCGTGATGGGCTGGACTCGGGATTTCGCGTCGGTTGGAGACCCCGAAACGGTATTGGTTGAGTTGCTTTGCTTCGTCGAATAGAAGATCCCCGGCATCCAAATCCCTGGACGGGCCACTCCGCTCCCTGCAGTTGTCGGTGTGACGCACAAGCCCATTCCGCAGCGCCGGGAGACCGGTGGCCAATGGCAAGATCGTCAATGGAGCCAGTCGTACTGGGGAAGCTGGGGCCAATCCTGGGACTCGTGGTGGTCTGATGATCAGCGCCCGTGGAAGAGCTCCCGCAATTGGGATTGGCGATGAATGAGCGATCTCTTCAACAATCTTTTCAATCTTCGGCTGACATCCATTTACATTTCAAATTCAATATTCATTATACTTCTCAATCCATGTTGGCCGAGGATCAATGTACAGGCATGAGCACGCCTCGCGAGAGCGACGGTCAGTGGAGGCGGAAGACCTTAACGGCCAGTTGCTCGAATCCAAGTGCTTATGTGCTGCAAAAGGCTTCATGCCGATCGGGTTTCGTTGGTTGTTTCATCCCTTTCATTTGTCCTCCTGTTTCACATTCGGGCACGGGGGGTGTAGTTTGCAACGTGATGTATTTATCAACCATGTAAAACCCCAATGCATGAATGTCTCACTTGCGCAGTCTCATCATTACGACTGCGTATGGCTCAAGAAAAAGCGCGCTGTGCACAGGGTTCATTGTTGACCCTTCCCGGTTGTTTAACCTGTTCTATACAAAGATTGGCTCGTTGTGTGACATGTTCTTTGTCGTTTTGCGTTTTGGTGCGGTATTTGCAGGCTTGAGCCCACGCACGCGCGTACACCCATACGCACAGACTCACACAAAGGCACAAGGAACCAGACAGACACACACCCACACACAGACAGCGACACAGACAGAGACGCACAGACACACTCACAATTGCAGCGCTTTCTCTAAGCTCCCATCCTTCAAACCTTTTTATCATGACTGACTTGTCAAAGCTGGTGCCATGCCGGGGTCTGAGGCTGGCCTCTGCCAATGAGACGCACCAACGGGAGCGCCAGGAGTTGGAACAGAGCCGCTCGGAGGGTGTCGTATGAGGGAACCCCAAAATGGGAGGTTCCACTCAAAAAGCTCCCAGCTCAAACCACAGGCGCCCCAGTCTTGTGGCTCGCAGAGACTGTTCATTCTAAAGCTTCAGGGGTGCTACAGCCTATCGCTTTCTCACGATTTCTCTCTCTCCGCCAACCTGACGGGTGGCAAAAAGGGCCCAAAACGCCCCTAAGAAATTAAGAGCTGTTCAATCCATCCACTTCCACTAGTGCTTTATCATGATTTCTCTCGCCACCAACCTGAAAACGGGCAAAAAGGGTCCAAAAAGCCCCCAAGTCCCACACAAAGGCGTTGAACGCAACAAGAAACACAAAAACACAAGAACAAAGTCACACACACACACAAAAAGCAAGACCACGACGCGCCCAGGGCGCCCCATGCCCCCGGGCCACTCCGTCGCCCGTCGCCTCTCGGGTTGCAAGGCCTCGAGGCGCTGGAGGCGCAGCTGGTGGAGGCGCAGCGCCGCGCCGAGGCGGCGGAGGCGCGGATTGGGCGGAGTGGGGGAGGAGTGGGGGCGGGGGCGGGGGCGGGGGGGAGGGGAGGGCGACGGGGAGGGGTGGAGGGCGATGTATAGTTTTACCTGGGGAAAAAGAACAAGTTACCGCAAATTAAGAAGGGAAAGAAGGGCGATGTGGCTGTGGCTCGAGGAAAACGGATCCAAAATGTCAGCTTGGTAAATGGAGCCAAAGACTAAGACCTGGCGTAACCCTAGCTCATGAATTTTGAGCTACACCCATGTGTAGTTTTACCTCGGAGAAAAAGTCGTGCTCATTTTGTGAAGCACAAAGACGTTCACATGTGCCTTGTTGCTCAGAATGGCAATCGAGCAAATATGGAATGTCTACTTTGTTTATGTATTGTGAAGTTATGTGACTTTGTTTGGTATCTACAATGTGCGTAGAACTGACCATTTGTTTTAATTACATCAGTGTAATTGGATGAAGCCGAGAGCAAGAGAGAGAGAGAGAGAGAGAGAGAGAGAGAGAGAGAGAGAGAGAGAGAGAGAGAGAGAGAGAGAGAGAATTGGAGGAATACATACGTGATATAGAATATTTGATACTTTAGTTAATTTCCAAACTAATGATATGTATTTTGGATTAAGCTATATAGTTGATCTTTTAACTAAACATATGTGAGAGTCGTCCGAAAGGTCCTTGTATTGAGCTATGAAGGGGAAGACCTTTTGGTCTTGGCGTTGACCTCCGCGAAAGTTCCGCGAAGGGGGTCGCGAAAGGTAATTTTTTATTCGCGAAAGTTTTGTGTAAGGGTGGCTTGCTAACAGGAAGCTGGAGTGATGAACCATGTGTATTTACCAGCAGTGCGGCCAGAATGCCCGCAGACCAAAGTTGGCCAGGGAATGCGCAGCCTGAGGGCCGCCGCAAGAATACGCCGCTGCAAAAGCAACCCCAGCCAGCAGAAACCGGCTTGTGGGAGTTTTGAAGCTTTCGGGTCAAGTTGAGTGCAACTTCCAGCCGGATATTCGCGAATGTTTGGCGTAAGATCCACGAAAGTTTCGCGAAAGTCGACGGACCTCCCTGCCAGTTTCCGGACGTGAGGCCAACGGGCCCTCTGAGCTGGAGCTGCGGAAACGCGCTTCGCGTGCTACTTTGGAACTGAAAGGTTGCGACTTTCGAGCTGGGGCTGCGGAAGCTTACTTTGTGTACTACTTTTGTATTAGCTTTGACTTTCGAGGCTGCGGAAGTTTAGTTCATGTACTACTTTCGTATTGAAGAGTTGCGCGACATTCAAGCCGGGCTGCGGAAGTTTACTTTGCTACTTTCGTATTGAAAAGCTGCGGCTTTCGAGCTGGGGCTGCGAAAGTGTACTTCGTGTATTACTTTTGTGATGAATGTTCTGAAAACAGCCCCGCGAAAGTTCCGCGATGGGGTCCGCGAAAGTTATTTTTTTTTTCTCGCGAAGATGGCGGTTTCCGGAACAAGGAATTTCAGATAACTGTCATGTATATACATATGTACACACCTGAATATCATGAGGAGGGCAAAGTCAAGGGCTGCAGCCAAATGTGCTTGCTTTGAGCCAGGCAGGAGGGCGCTAAACATCCCTCACATTGACAGTTGCCGCCACAAAGCTTTTTTTCTCCATGTTCATGCTGAGCAAGCCACCACCTACCAGGTGCAGGCAGCCTGCCTCGCCCAGAGCCAAGCGCCGGCAACTGAGGAGAAGGCAAGGCGCTTGTGCACTTGGCGCTCTGCTCCAAAAGTGCTTGATCCCATTGGTCATCCCAGCGTTCCATTTGGTCTTGGCGGTGTTTATTCATGTTTTTTTCCCCTCCCCTGACCGGCTGCTCGGCGTTCCCCTGCTGGGTTCTCATTGGTCCAGTGGCTTCGCAAAGCTCCCCGACAAGGCCGCCGCAGGCGGCTCCACGCCGCCTTGGAAGGCAGCGACGCAGGGCGGCAGCTCAGAGGCTCCGCTTGCGGCGAATTTGGGACTCGGCGGGTCTTGGTGAATTCGGCAGCTTTGGAGCGGCAGTTTTGGTCGCAGGGGCGGTGGGACAAATTGAACTTGGTTTCAGGACCTGGGCAGCAGCCCATCCGACTCTTTTTGCGTCATTCAAGGCGTGCCGAGGAGCACTCAGTTGGGCCGTCCGCGTAGGTCAGCAACGTCAAAATGACCTTTGCTTCTTGTGCTTGCCTCGTCAGCTTGATCAAGTATGCCCGCAGACAAGACCCATCACTGCTGCCATCATTGCACGTGTTTCGCCTTTTCGCTTGTTTGGCGAACGCTGGCGGAGCCCTGGAAGATCTTGGCACAGCGCTGTTTGAACTTCTTTTCTTTTGGGGGGGGGGGTTGGGGCCCCAAGTGTTGGAGGCCCCAAGGAACCGCTAGACATCAGCGTTGGCTGACACAGGCAAGGGGCTCGCCTCAGACCTTCCCGCTGAAGCCAACACCCTGGTGCCAGGCCTCCTTCGTCGCGGCTCTCCGGCGGAGGCGCTTGGTGGCGGAAGGGCAGCTGCCCGATGAGGCACGGGCGGGTGGGATGCAGATAGGCACGGATTCGCCTGGGCCAAATGCAGCTTGGTGACACGTCAGCATTGTGCTTAGACCTGATGCCGGTTCTTTCTGCGAACTTTGTCTTCCACTTGCTTTCCTGAAGTCTGCGTCGAAGAGGCTTTGCTTCACCCGGGGGGGCGGGCAAGATTTGCCGTTTGTTCAGGCTTGCTGTTCAAGATTCCCGGTTGTTTGGGCTGGACTGGTTCGCACCAGCCGTTGTCATCACTTTCTGCGTTCCTGGTTCACACATGTACGGGGGAGCTGGTGATAAGGCAGCGTTGGCACTTCTGGCAAACGGTGCCTCAAGTGTATTACTTTCCATTTGCTCCTCCTTTGATGTCCAATTGCTTTTCTTCTGCTTTTGATTTTTGTACAGCTGTTTTCCATTGCTACTGTTTTTGCACTTCAGTAGATAAGCTTTCTCAACCGGCGCGTGCGCTTATTCATAAATGATTGTGTCGCGTTTTTGTTTTTGGTGTGTGTGTGTGTGTGTGTGTGTGTGTGTGTGTGTGTGTGTGTGTGTGTGTTTGAGGAGGGGAGGCGATAAATCCCCAACATGTACACCAAGCAAGCGCAGCAGGCTCGGCGCCGTCGCCAACATCCTCATCGCCAAATTCCTCCAAAATTAAGTGGCTTGCAAACCTGCACTGTTGGGTGTCCCGAAAGACCATACACCGAACAAATCGCTTGCCTTCCTGCCTCTTGCCTCGGTGCCAAAACTGACGAGCCACCGCGAAATTTTTGCGTGGGCAGCCGCAAGATAGGATTGCATTTTGCTTGTGGGCGCCGTGCCCACTTGGAAAGGATAATTGGACGTGCGTTTGGACAGAATTGAGAAGCGATATTGGCATGATGAAAGCAGCAGACAAGCCAAAAGGAGACATTCATTTCTTTAGGGCGTTTGGTGGTTTGCCGCGAGGTGCGAGAAGGTGTGAAGCAGCTTTCGGAGAGCCTGTGTGCGGCGGTGGAGAGATTAGCCAACGACCTGTATGAGAGCGAGTGCCATTTCCTTTACGAGATCATACAGAGCCTTGGCAACCCGAGCTTTGTTGGCTTTGTTTTCTTTGTTTGGACGTCACTGTTTCATGTTACTTTGGGGGCTTGGCCTGCACACGGGACAAACTTCTGCCAGGAATGCTGAGGATGCGCACGCACGTGCTCGTCCCAAGGAGAGGTGCCAGATGAGGCTTTGGAAGTTGGGCCCAATAAGCAGTTGAGAATCCTAGGTCATCAGGTCCACTCCAACTTATCCACAGGGCGCGACGACTCACTCGCAACGTTGCAACGTTGCAACACTCACCAGTTGTGCTAAAGCCTGGTGATTGCTGGCGTGCGAGGCGGCTTGAGGTTTGTACTTCCTTTCAGATAGCATGGCTAGGTCCATATTGTCAGAGTGCTTTCCAACCCCTGCCTCTCACGTTTTCGCTTTCATCGCTTCCTCACAAACAGCCTGGGCAATAGCTTGACTTGCTTGCACCCCCCCCCTCCCCCACACATTTCCATAAGTGTTGGCCCAAAATCCATGGCAAACGACTTTTGGTGCAGATATTGTGGTTGGATGGCGGTACTTTGCTCGGAGGGCGACTGTCTAGCCTCCAAACCACCATGCACATTGTGAATTCAGATTGAACAGATTTGGACAGCCGAGACGTGGGGCCTCCAATCTCCTGATGTTTGTTTGCCCTTTTTCTTCGTGCCGCACCCAAGCCACAACAGGCCCCCCCATTTTTGACAAGGACAACCTAGCAAACGTCACCATGCCAGGTCAAGATGTACAGATCAGCCTCTTTCTGGGCTCATGGACTCTTCGAATTTCGTTAAGCCCTTGGAACTTGGGGGTTGTGCCGAAAACGCGTTTCCAGGAGGCCCGGGAGCCGCGGCTGAGCTTGCGCTTGGGGCCGCCTTCTCCCGCCTTCCCCCACGGATTCTTTCTGAGCGCCGCCCGGCAACAGATGAAAAGCAGGGCACGGCACGAGGGAACGATGGAGCGGTGGATACGGGACGGCCCCTTTGCAGGCCACGGAAGCCACGGAAGAGATCACAAAATGAGTCGTAGGTGGTTTGACAGCGGGAAGGTCACGCGGGTTTGCCTTTGCTCCCCAGAACGTTCGGGATTTGCCTTGGCGTGACAGTGAGCCAAGGAGAACAACGAAGCTGGCTTCACAGAAAGAGGCCAAGCTAGACTTATTGTCGTGAACAGTGAACAGTTGCAGTCCACGGCGAGCATGCCTGTCTTCGTTTGGACGCGAGCTGCGTCCGGAGCCAAGGAGACGTGACTGCTCTGTGCGACATCTCGGCATCTTCCAAGAAGAAGCCGATGCCTGGGGCAGAAGGCGGATCCATCGGCTGCAGCGGAGCTGCACTGCTGCACCCTTCCACGTCCGCAGGGTGATTTTGTGTGTCACCCCACAAATCCCGAAGGCTGACCTTAAGGGGGGGCTTAAGGTGACCTTCAGGTGACTTTAAGGCTTCGGACCTTCCTCTGGGTAAGGGGGTGAAGGGGAGTCCAGTATTTCGGTTGTTCAATTCAGCTGGACCCTTGGAGAGGGGTATGGCATTTAAAGGAACTTGGCTCTCAACTGCTTGGCTGGGTGAAAGCAATCCTTTCCTCGGTGCCCGAGCTGAGGCAAGGGCATCGGCTTCAAGTCGGTGTTTACCGTCAGCGACCGCGCCCATGTGCTGTCCAAGGCCTGGATCGAGTTCAGACCCCGGTGGGGGGCAAGCATGTCGTGCCGATGTCCTCACTCAAGGGGGCCAGGACGGGACCAGCATCGACAACTCAGAATAGCTTGGCTCATGTCGCAGCATGCAATCGGCGCATCTCTTGCAATCGGCGCCGATTCCAGGGCTTCACCTTTGTCTTTGATGTTGCAGGGCCTCTGGGGAAGTTGGGCCGGGAGGCCTAGAAGTTGCCGAAGCTCGTGGCTCTGGGCTTGTGTGTGTGTGTGTGCGCAAGCCAGCCCAGGAATTGCCCACCCGCTCCTGTTGAAGTGATAAGGCCGATTGTTCTCACTTTCGTTGTATTGGCCCTCATGGCATCTCCGTCGACTCTACAAAATGAGTCCAGGGCCCGCTTTACCACGGCATTCATCTTTGGTCTTGGAGGGCTTTGTCTTGTTTTGGAACTTCGAGTTTGCTTAAGACATGCGCAACTTATACAGGCAACCCCTTGATTGCCGCCCCGACTAAGATTAGTTGATGTGCCAACTACGAACCGTCTCAAGCGGACTGTATGTCTCAAGCAACTATTTAGCTTCAGGATGGGATGGGATGGGATGGGCTAGGAACTCTTTAGGGTGGGAAGTGGGCAGGAAGGGGTCGTTGCGTTTTCACTTGCTGTGGCTTCCAAATCCACCCACTGTAGCATACATTTGGCTAAGAGTATGCTCCACGGAAGTTCTTTGCTGGCTTTGGGCACCTTGAGACTCAGCGCGGTCAAACAAAAAAGTGTGACAACCAATTCCCCCTTTCCACCCGCCCCACCTCAGACGCCTCACGTTCCAGAGTTCGCTGAGTTGATGCGCCCCAGTTGGCGTGAATGCCCTCCCCACCAGCCCAAGATCAGCCTCCCCAGCTGAAAGGCACAACGCATGCTTAATGTCATGGGAGATATGCCACCTCGTGCAGAGGGTCTGGTCAATGAACAAGGGTGCATTAAACCCACACACACACGCTAATGGATGAAGTTAACGTGAAATGCGCAGTTTGCTCTCTTACTCTCTGCGGATCCCTCCTTTCTTGGCCTCAGGTTATGTGACACCCACCTGGCCTCCTGGATGCCTATGCGTGGCATGGGTGGGCAGGAAGACAGGGTCGATACTAGTAGTTTAGTTGGTCAGATCGCACATCATGCGACAAACATCTCTTGGTGTCCAAATCAATTTTTTGAAGCCTGTAGTTAGGGCAAACGCCTTGGGCGCCCCCGCAACCCGAAAAGTTGTTTTAGAACCTCTTGGATGGGGCTCTCAGGAGGGTTGTTGGGGGCGGGGGTAGTGGTGGTAGTGGTAGTGGTCGTGGGGGTCGTGGTCGTGGTGGTCGTGGTGGTAGCGGTGGTAGCGGTGGTAGCGGTGGTAGCGGTAGTATAGGTGGTAGCGGTAGTAGCGCTAGTAGCGGTAGTAGCGGTGGTAGCGGTAGTAGCGGTAGTAGCAGTAGCCGTAGCAGTAGCCGTAGTGGTAGTTGAGAAGTCCGTATTCATTTCCCAGGTTGCTGAAATTGATCAGATCACATTGACAAACCTGCTTTGTACTTTTGCTCGGGCTCCAGTCAGTTGCAGGTTTTTGAACGGTTCAACGGGCTTGCGGCAGGGCTGCCACTTCGAGCTCAGGCTTGGCGAGGCGGAGCTGGCCAAGCTGCCGCCAGAGGTGCGGGAGGCCCATCACTCTGGGCGCACAGCGCCTTGCTAAAATCGGACGGGGCTGGGGGGGCCTGTGTGGCTTGGCCTCTAAAATTCCTATCCGGATTTTTCCATTGCACCTTTGGAATTGAAATTGGGACTGGAGCTACGATTAAAATGAAACTGCTTAGTGTTCGAGAAGCACAGAATAGTACTGCAGTCCAAAAGTTTCATGCCGAAAGATACTCCTATCGCGTGGCTTCGCTGGTTGAAATCTAGTGCGCCTTTGCGCGGATTGCGCGTGGATGCCACCGGCACAATTTTCAAAGAAGGTCCAACGTCGAAACCAAAGTTTCATCGCCCAGGTGCTGTTCCTGCCCTTGAGGGCGAGCGGCCTTGCGGCGGCCATTGGGCAGGATGGGGCAGACCGGTTGTGGCCAGCGCAAATGCACATGGAGACCGCGCACAAACACACAAGTTCACAGGTTTTGGCCAGACATGTGTCAATGGGACACACCGGAGCCCTACATCTTCCCGCGCCGGGTGGCCCATGGCTCGCATGGCCCGTGGCTCCCCTGGCCCCGAAGGAGATGGATGAGTTGGCGGGCCCTGGGCGTGCCTCCCTCCTCTTCCTAAGGCGGCTGTGCAGCATCGCCGCTTGGGTTGAAGGCGACGCATGGTGAGCCATGCGTCGCATACGGAGTAAGTATATATCATGCACATGTAAGTAAATGTATGTATTTATGCACTGTGTGTGTGTGTTTCGTGGTGCTTTTGGATTTGATTCTTGAAAAGCGCTTTGGCTTTAACCTGCAGCAAGGCTCTCATGACAATAAATGCAAGATTGGGCTGACTGTGCCGCCTAAGGAGCTACTCCGCGGGAACCAGCCTCTGAGGCAGGGGCTTATGCGATATGGAGATCAGCGTAAACTGGGAGCTTTCACACTTTCGCCTGCAGCCGCCCTCAACCCCAGCTTGCGACTTGGGGAGTTGGAATGCTGCCGGTGTTTGGCCGAGTTGTGAGACTGGCCGAGACAAGTGTCCTTTCATTTTGAATTGATTTGGTGGCAGAACCAGCGGTGCTCAATTGAATAATTAGACGTAGGATCAGAAAGGCATTTTCATATCCCAGGCTTTGATTGGAAGTTGGAAGGGATGTTGGCATTCCTTAGCGCTGCGCGGAGCGAAACAGGCTGCCAGGCTCCTGCAAGAAAGCAGAACATAGATACCCAAGCCACTACCTGCCCGCACAAGGGCGCTGCGCTGCATGAACGCTCTTTTAACAATTATGGCCAGCCAAAAACAGCAAGAAACGCAGACCAGCCAGTCTGTTCCCTTGGTGTCCTCGCTACCATACGTTGCAGCTCTGCAACTGACGCTTGTGAGGCTACTGCGCCGCAGAGCAGAAGGCGTGCTCGCGAGGCTGGGCTGCGGGTAGCAGCCAGCTCGTCAGGGAACTGCCTGATTAGGTTCATTGCCAACGCTCCATAGGTTAGACACAGAAAGGTGGTGCTGGTTCAGAGCTACTTCAACCAAAGCAGAGGGTGGATGCAGCAGTTGTGGTCGCCCAGGCCTCAGGCAGTGCAATCTGCTGCAGCCCGGACCTTGGTTGACGCTCCGTCGAAGAGAGGCGTGCTTCGTGTACGCGGCGAGAATCAGGAACAGGTGTAAGCCAGCAGGTGAGTGGAAGGCTGCGATTTCTTCAATTCATGCCGGCTTTGTGCTGCAGTCAGTCCATAGACTTAGGTGGTACTCGAAGAAGAGGGCGAGCCACCGCAAGAGCACGAGTACTTGGTTTACAACCATCGGACCCCGGTCGGACCCGGCAGCTCGGTAAATTCAGAGAAGTTCAAGATCACAGGTGTCCTTGTTATGTCAATTTGGTTAGAATAGATTGCACTGGTTTAGGTGGCAAAAACTTCCATTCGCCAGGGCCATCTTTTTGGAACAAAAGGACACCTATGTTCAAGATGCTTCACAGAGTTGAAGGCCCTTTGCGAGCAGTCGCTGGCAACTTGCCAGGGACCAGCTTTTCTGAGCTCTCGTGTCTAAGGGGCAAGCGCAGATTTGGTCCTGGCCTTTCCCGAAGCTCGGCTGCATTGCCTGCACTTGGCGGCACAAATTCTGAGTTAAGTGGCGCATCGCTTTCATTGTGCTTTGTTTGATTGTTTATTTGTTTTTGTGTTTGTGTGTTTGTTTGTTTGTTTGTTTGTTTGTTTCTTTGTTTCTTTGTTTGCTTCTTTGTTTGTTCTGTTGTTTCTTTGCTTGTTTGCTTGCTTGTTTTTTTGTTTTGTTTTGTTTTTGTTTCATTGTTTCTTTGTTAGCTTCTTTGGTTGTTCCTTTGTTTCATTGTTTGTTATGTTGTTTATTTGCTTGATTGTTTGTTTGTTTCTTTCTTTCTTTCTTTCTTTCTTTGTTTGCCTTTTTTCCCGGAAGCATTGCGAAGGGTTCTTCTTCTAAAAGCGGCTGCCAACTTCACCTGCCAACTTCTCATGCCAACTTGTCGAGAGTTACTTCACCTGCCAACTTCTCATGCCAACTAGTCGAGAGTTACTTCACCTGCCAACTTCTCATGCCAACTTGTCGAGAGTTACTTCACCTGCCTACTTCTCATGTCAACTTTTTGAGAGTTACTTCACCTGCCAACTTCTCATGTCAACTTTTTGAGAGTTACTTCACCTGCCAACTTCTCATGTCAACTTTTCGGCTGTTATCTCATTCTACTAAAAGCACAAGCTAATTTGTCGGGTGTTACTTCACTATCCTAAAAACACAAGCTAACTTTTCTGTTCTACCTTCACATCTCGACGCTTAATTCTTCTTCTTTTTATGGCGGGGGTAGGCCCGACGGGAGCTTACGAAACGCACCCCTCTGCGGAGATCGTGCGTGTCGAAGCGCTCTCGCTGTGGCGCCGTGCGAATTTGTCTTGACCTTGGCGAACCCTCTGCGGAGATCCTGCGTGTCGAAGCGCTCTCGCTGTGGCGCCGTGCGAAGTTGTCTTGACCTTGGCGAACCCTCTGCGGAGATCGTGCGTGTCGAAGCGCTCTCGCTGTGGCGCCGTGCGAAATTGTCTTGACCTTGGCGAACCCTCTGCGGAGATCGTGCGTGTCGAAGCGCTCTCGCTGTGGCGCCGTGCGAATTTGTCTTGACCTTGGCGAACCCTCTGCGGAGATCGTGCGTGTCGAAGCGCTCTCGCTGTGGCGACGTGCGAATTTGTCTTGACCTTGGCGAACCCTCTGCGGAGATCGTGCGTGTCGAAGCGCTCTCGCTGTGGCGCCGTGCGAATTTGTCTTGACCTTGGCGAACCCTCTGCGGAGATCGTGCGTGTCGAAGCGCTCTCGCTGTGGCGCCGAGCGAATTTGTCTTGACCTTGGCGAACCCTCTGCGGAGATCGTGCGCGTCGAAGCGCTCTCGCTGTGGCGCCGTGCGAATTTGTCTTGACCTTGGCGAACCCTCTGCGGAGATCGTGCGTGTCGAAGCGCTCTCGCTGTGGCGCCGTGCGAATTTGTCTTGACCTGGGCGAACCCTCTGCGGAGATCGTGCGTGTCGAAGCGCTCTCGCTGTGGCGCCGTGCGAATTTGTCTTGAGCGCGGCGAACCCTCTGCGGAGATCATGCGTGTCGGATCGCTCTCGCTGTGGCGCCGTGCGCATCTGTCTTGAGCCCGATGAACCCTCTGCGGAGATCGTGCGTGTCGAAGCGCTCTCGCTGTGGCGCCGTGCGATTTTCCTGCTCGCGAAACGGCTTTTGGAAGTTGTCTCGTGGTGCGCGCGCCTGCTTTCGCAATCCCGCGGTCCCGGGTTCGATTCCCCCCTGGTCCGCGGCAGCTCCGGCTGGAAAATCGCAGCTTTTAAGTACAAACGTAGTACGCGGAGCGTGCTCCTGCAGCTCCGGCTGGAAAATCGCAACTTTTAAGTACAGACGTAGTACGCGGAGGCTGCTGCAGCTCCGGCTGGAAAATCGCACTTTTTAAGTACAGACGTAGTACGCGGAGCGTGCTCCCGCAGCTCCGGCTGGGAAAATCGCAACTTTTAGATACAAATGGCTGGAAAATCGCAACTGTAAATTGCAAATGTAGCACGCGGAGCGCCTCCGCCGCTCCAGCTTTTTGAGGGTTAATTACTTCACCTGCCAGTTTCTCATGCCGAAACTTCGAGAATTACTTCACCTGCCAGCTTCTCATGCCACCTTTTCGAGAGTTACTTCACCTGCCAACTTCTCGTGCCAACTTTTCGAGGAGTTACTTCACCTGCGAGCTTATCAGGCCAACTTTTCGAGAGTTACTACACCTGCGAGCTTCTCATGCCAACTTTTCGAGAATTACTTTACCTGCCAACTTCTCATGCCAACTTTTCGAGAAATACTTTACCTGCCAACCTCTCGTGGCAACTTCACCTGCCAACTTTTCGAGAATTACTTCACCTGCCAACTTCTCATGCCAACTGTTCGAGAAATACTTTATCTGCCAACCTCTCGTGGCAACTTTTCGCAAAATTACTTCACCTGCCAGCTTCTCATGCCAACTTTTCGAGAGGTACTTCACCTGCCAACATCGCCTGCCAACTTTTCGAGATTTACTTCGCCTGCCAACTTCTCGCGCCAACTTTTCGAGAATTACTTCGCCTGCCAACTTCTCATGCTAACTTTTCGAAAGTTACTTCACCTGCCGGCTTCTCACGCCAACTTTTCGAGAGTTACTTCACGCGCCATCTTCTCGTGACAACTTTTCGAGAATTACTTCACCTGCCAGCTTCTCACGCCAACTTTTCGAGAGTTACTTCACCTGCCAACTTCTCATGCCACCTCTTTGAGAGTTATTTCACCTGCCAACTTCTCATGCCAACTTTTCTCTTGAGTTACTTCGCCTGCCAACTTCTCATGTCAACTTTGCGAGAATTACTTCACCCGCCAACTTTGCCAGCCAACTATTCGAGAGTTACTTAACCTGCCAGCTTCTCATGCCAACATTTTGAGAATTGCTTCGCCTGCCAACTCCTCATGCTAACTTTGCGAGAGTTACCTCACCTGCATCAACTTGCCTCTATGCTTCCGGGCCACTCGTCGTCTAGTTTGTTTTTGTTTGTGTATTTGTTTCATTGTTTGTCTGTTTCCTTGCTTGTTTGTTTGTTTCTTTCTTTTTTTCTTTCTTTCTTTCATTTTGTTACGCAGTGTCTTTTTCCCATGGCCATCACAACCAAACATGGGCATGTGAAAATAGGGGGCCACACATGCTGGGTTCCTGTCGGTGTCCCTTGTTGGTAACCAGTCCAAAACGTGTACCCTCAACAAAACACACGATGTTATGCGACATGGATTTTAGGAGCCGAGTTGGCTCCGGCCAAGAGCACACGGGAGGTGAGCACTGAATGAAGCAGCAGCGCACATTTGGTACATTTGATTGTGAGCCTCAATCCCTTGTTCGACTAATACCAGCTCGGGTTTTTTGCTTTGGCACTTGTAGTTGTGATTCCACTTTTGGCCTCTCTCACTTCATCATTCTTGTCAATGGCCGCTCGCTGAGGCAAGTTCTGAGGAGAGCCGCTGCGAGCCCTTGTTTTGCACGCTGCCCATCAGACGCCCGGCAAGGAACACTGCCTCACCTTTGAGAACATGTTGACTGGCGGAACTAGAGGATCGGTGCTTTTTTCTGGGATTTATTGCTAAGAGAGTCTTGTGGGTATCACGGCACAAGGGGAAGGACGAGCCAGGAGTACTGCTTGTAGAGGGACGGGTTCCACGCAAGCCAAAGCCGAGGACAGGTCGGCTACGGATTTGCTCTGCACAGTGCCGTCTTTGACCTCGTAGCAAACCGCAGCCTCTTGACAGAGAGGCTCAGTATCTCACGTTAACTCCCGGCCACTCTGTTTGACAACGGCATTTATGATCGCAAGATATGGGTGCCTCAAAACGGCGGTGTTCCTTTCGTTGTTTTCTTAAGCCAACCTGAAAGGGCCAGAACAGGGGTATCCTCAAAAGGACGCATACCCATGTTGACAAATTCAAGAGCGAAGCTGATGTAGCCCGCACGAAAGTGATCGTTAGCTTCCTGAGGTGACCTGCACCGAGGAAGCTTGGCAAACCGCGCGGTCAGGGATGCGTTGCCGGAGGTGCCATCCAATTGCGTGTGCAAGTATTTTGAAGGACGGGCGTGAGCATTTTTTGCCATGCTTCTTGATGTGTGAAGCTGGTAACCGGCAACCCCTTTCCTGGCAAGAATCCCTCCAAAAAGGGTGGCTTGGAGCACGGCGGTTTAGCGTGGAAAAGGGGTGGTTTTCCATTAACTCTGTACAAGAACCAGGGGTTCCTTTCTTCAGCGTGGCTCTTTGCGCGCGAGAAGCTGAACTGACGAGCCTCTGGCACGCAGGCCTTTGCTGGCGCCTGTGCCGCGGCGCCGGAGATCTCCCGGCGGGCGCTGGCGCTGCTAGGCGACCTGCAGCCGGTTTGTTGCCGGAAGTCCGAAGGTCGCTTGCTTGGCTTGCTCGGTTTGCTTGCTCTCTTCTTGCTGAATTGCTGGGACCGGTCGCAAGTTGCTCAAGGTTCTGTATCTTGAAACAACGCTCTCCCTCGCCCCAATTCGAGTTACAGGCCCACGTGGTTTGTCATTTTGTCATTCAACATGCAAGCTTGACAATTCCGAGTTGTTGCTAGACAACGGCATCATGGCACCCCTGCTTCATTTTCGTGACATGTCTCGACATGGTGGGCATCCCACTTGGCCTTTGGCTGGTTCAGCGCTTTCGAGGCGAGCCGGTGGCGGATCCTTTCTGGCGGGTGGCCCGCGAGGGAGTGCTGGAGCCGTGGGGTGCTGGGAATGGCCTCTGTCGCAAGCGGCCCCAAGGGTTTCGATTGGAAGCCGTGGTATGACAACTGGTGTCCTTTGCCAGGCACCAGGCTCCATGTTGGCTCCATGTTGGGTATCACAGCCTCGGAAGCCCCATCACTTTGAGCAGCTTCCTGTGAGTGTGGGTCTGGCCTCTGTGACCCTTCAAGGAGCGGCTCTCCGACGTGTCCTGTGCCGTGGTTGGAAGGGAAGCGGGGTGCGTCCGTTGACCAGTCTAGACATGCAGTGGTTCGCTAAGATGCAAACTTACTTCAAGGTTCGTGCCTCTCAGATTCAACTCAACTGTTTTGGGTTTAAGCACCAAATCTTTATCTTGATGCAAGGATCTCCGGCCTTTGCAATGGGAGCCAAGAATCGAATGCAAACTGCGTGCCTCCACGTGCGTGCAAGATCATGCAAGTTCCGAGCGCGTGAGGTGTGCAGACTTCAGCAGGGCAGCTGCGGAAGCCAGGGGAGGTGAGCCGTGGGTTCCCGGCGGTTGTCTCGCGTTTTGCGTGGCAAGAGGTGATGACCCTGACGGGGACAGCCAGGTCCATCCAGCAACTCACGTGAGCGATTTGTTTTGACTTGAGAAGCTGCTAGGCATTGCAACACCACCTGCTTCGAACGCACGATGTCGTTTTTCAGGGCCGCCTCTGTTTGGTGGCACTGGCTGAAGTAGATGCTTGAACTTCGGCACATCCCACCTTTCTTGACCTTGCCTAAACTGAGTGCTTCTCACCATGATGGACCCCCCTTCTGGTATTCCAAGGGAAGTAAGGCAAGAGAAAACCAACCAGTTAGGGCCACTCTGTGGCAACGTCCCTCGGGGGTGCTCCTGAAATGGGTAAAAAGATGAGATAATTCCCACATGGGAAGAGTTATACATAATCGTTTGGGGACCCAAAATGGAATATTGATCATCCTGCAGGAAAATCAACTAGAAGTGCTTAGAATGGAATTTTGATCAGCCCCCAAACTTGATTGCTATTGGGTTGGATCTTTAGACTTTAACTTTTTGGAAAACAATGGGGTTTCCACTAAATCCCCCCAAAAGTGATTCACGTTTTGCAGGGGGGTCAACAGCAACCAAGCAAATGGGTGGTTTCCCTTCTCCTGAGCGGTCAAGAGCGGGGCCGTGCGCTTCGCTTCGCCTCAGGTGCTGCTGCGGGGCAGCGGCCCGCTGCGCCGCGCCAGCGAGCTGCTACCGGGGGAGCTGGTGCCGCTTGGACGCGGAGAGTCTGGAGTCCGGCGTCCGGGGTGGCAGGGGGGTAGAGACGTAGAGAGGTGGGCGGCTCAAAATTAAAGAGCCAGGGTCACGCCAGGTTTTAGTCTTTGGCTACCCATTTTTGCTTGGTAAGTCATTTTGGTACGTTTATTTCAGCCACAGCCATGTGGGGCGGTGGGCCAAGTTAGCCATTTTTAGTGCCCCCCCTCAAATGACCCAAAGGTAACTTTGCTTTCCATGTGGGAGATATCTCAATCTGATTGTTTGAGTGAGGATTTCTCCAGTCGTCCCGTGTAGAGAGGCCCGTTTGATCAGCCCCTGTGTGTGCGCGACATGCGCTGGCGCGCGTATGTCTATCAACACGTGAATATGTAGATGGAATTTGGGTGTATGTGGAACAGTCCAGGGCGGAAGTTTCGGTTAGCAAAGTGTGGGCTCATGGTCCTTGTTTACATCGTCGCGTGGCATAAAGACGTGGGGCCCAACTTGACAACGCGCCGAGCGATCATGCTCACAGGACAGGCGCTACTGTCACATGGGCCTGCTAGCAGTCAAGTGTCCAGGGACTCTGGCAAGAGTGGCAGGCCATCGTAGTTTCCAACGCTTCTTCAGGCAGGGCCAATGGAAATTGCCCAGCACTCAGGAACCTTTCTTGTGGGCGCTCTCTGTGCGATGCTGGCGATGCTGGCGAGGCCGGTTTGATCCCCTCACAGCTGGGAACACGAGGCCCGCGTCGCTCCGCACACTGCTAGCTGCCAGGAGCGGCTGCTGCGGCGCCTGGGGGCGGAGACGTTCAGCGCCAGGCACTTCGCCCAGTGCCTGGCCTACCAGGGCGGGGCATGGCCACGAGGCGGGAGAAAGCCCAGGAGCCGTCGGTGGGTCGGGGGGACATGCGCAGGGCAAGCCGCACCTTTCTGGCTTCGCGCAGGCAGCAATGTGCAAGTCAACATGACATATACCTACGCAGGTTATTTGAGGATGCAGGCCTTGAAAGGCAATACCCCCCCCCCAGAAAGGTCCTCGAAGAACCCCTTCTAGCCAGGTATGAACCTTCCTTGGGAGTTGGGGGACCTTTGTTTTTCCCCAGTAGGCAAAAAAGCATTGTTCAAAGCCTGCAGCACTGGTTTTCGAGGTTTGCATCTTGCAATTTGATCCCCCTGTTTGCATCTATTTAGATCATGAGGGCTCCCAGCAGACATCATTTCCTTTTCTGCTTGTGGCATTCCTAAAGCAGTTGACGTGGCTTGCGGACAAGTTTGCGGCAAATCCGTGATGGCATGTTCGGGAAGCGCAGGCTGGGTTGCGGCCACATGGGCTGAAGATGTGCCTAGTGGCCGGCGCATCGCGGCACTGTGACCCCAAGCGGTGCGTTTAGGATACTTCCTTGGGTCAATGCCGAGGTGAATGGGGGGCTGCTGGTCCGGATCGTGTTTCGACGCAGGCTTCATTTTGTTGGTTGCGAGTTGCTGGAATGTTTGATTCTAGAGTTATAATACCAAGAAGGTTCGCTCAAACGTTTTTCGAGTCGCAGCTAGCTGGGGTGAGGTGCTTGGGGGCATCGATGCGCGTTGTTTGCTCACCTTTCCGCAAAGCAGGTACAATTTGCTGGGCTTCATCATGCGGCCCGGGGACGAGAGCAGCGAGGCCAGGCAATCTGAGCCATGTCAATGACACGAAAGAACTTGGCAGCAATGCAACCGAGAAAGAGCCCGGTTTAGACCACTGCCTCAGGCCCCCTCTTCAGAGTGTTCGGCGGTGGTGGGCTGACGCAGGCGCAGACCTCCGAGCTGCTGCTGCAGCTGCCCTCGCTGCCGCTCTTTCCGCTGCTGTCAAAGGGGCAGAGCGAGAGGCAGGGGCCGGATGGCGAGTCAAAGCCTCACTCCCTGAATTCCTGGACTTTCAACTTTTTGGGAAGACTAGTTTAGTGGTAAACAGAAAGTTTGAACTTTTTTGGCCCATCAACTCAGGCAGTGAGAAGCCGGTCAGATGGGCTGATGCGAAAAAGCCGTCAGGCCCTGCGCAAAGCTGGAAGAGGGCCCGATCTTCCTGGGCATTTGCAGCGCCCTCACGGAGCGCGGCTTCATGCTATCTGCACCAAAGGGCGCCGAGTGTCTGAAATTGATTGCTCTGCATGGACTCGGCCAGCTGTCAGTTGGATTCTTCTCAGGCCTTGGGGCGCCTCAAGGGGCCCTTTGAGCCCCTTCCCAGGAGACCTGGCAGCTGGCACTGGGCGAAAGTGGCGCCCTGCGGCTTCTGCTTGGCCCTTACGCGGGTTGACAGCAGCTTTTCCGCTTAGCTGCTAGCTGCCTTGGAGCTTGGCGCGTCACCCGTGATCGGTTGTGGTGTTTGGCGAGTCTGCGGCCCGACAGCGCCAAGGTTTTGTTCTCTGGCAACGAAGTCATGGCGAATTGGCAACCATTGACTGCTTGCATGATTTTCCTCAGTTGCGAGCCTGCGATGGCCCAAAGGAATGCACCCGTTTGGCCGTGGGTCAAGCCATTTCAATCCTTCCATTTGACAACCACTTCCTCCTCTTCTGATGGGTTTGTGCCCTCGTATCCGCGCGGGCAGCCGTGCCTCCAAGGCCTCCAGCTGTGAGCTCCGGCCTGGATAGCTTGGGAGCGCAGTTGCCGCTTGGACAGGGGAAGGGGCAACTGGCGTCATTGTTTTGACGGTTGGGGTTATCAAAGTCAGACACTGGGGTTGTTTCCTTCAACCCGTCACCTTAGGGGTGACTTTGATAAGGGGAAAATCATGAGGCCAGGGCAATCTGGGTTTACGTCTGTTTGAGGGTAGCCTTTTCGCCTTTTCTTCATAATTCAGGGGGCCAAAAATCAAAAGAAGCCCTTGCCTTTGCTCAATGTTTAAAGGGGGGGCCAAACGGAAGAGGTACCCTTTTCGCCTTTGCTTAATGCTTAAAGGGGCCAACAGGAAGACACCACCATTTGGATCCCTGGCCATTGCCCCCCCTCCCCCCCTGCCCCCCACCCCCTCTCCCCTCCCCCCCTCCCTCCTTGAGCGAGGCTGGCGTCGCTGGGTGTGGAGGCGCCCAGCCGGGCGCAGCTCGCGGAGGCGGCGCTGCAGCGGCTGCTGCGGCTCCAGCCCGGGGCGCTTTGCTCAAGGGGCTGTTGGGGGGGGTGGTGTGGGGGGGGAGGGGGCTGGGGTAGCACAGGTGTGCTTCTGCTTGATGAAGTTGGCTGGAAATTGATGGGTTCCACTGGTTTAGATGGGTTTTATGCCCGATTTGCCAGTGCCATTGATGTCTTTTCCGAAAGGCCACCTCTGGCTAAGGGACAATCCCAAGCCTGACATGTCTCCTTCTGAGCGTGCAAAAACCCCATGCAAAGTGCGGGTTTTCAGATTGGTTTCCTGGAAAGCTGCCAGCTTGCTTCGGTGCTGCACAGTTTCCATCGCACCCATCGTCCATAGCCGGAACACGCAGAAAGGAAAGCGGCGGGCCAACTTGAGCCAAGGCGGAGGCTGCGCCACTGGCATTCTCCTGCTGGGCGGCCGGACGCCTCAGGGGTACTTGTAATGTTTGACCCGTCTTCTGGTCAAAAGGAGGTTTCGGATGACCCCAAAAAACCTGCAACAAGTGGGTGGCGTTGTTGTCGGCCCAGGCCCTGGCGGTGCTGAGGGATCTATGGGCCGAGCCCGAGACAGAAAAGGAGATACGAGGCGGGAGGAGAGATGCCTGGAGTGGCCTCAGGCAAGCCTTTGCCAACAGCCCCTAGAGCACAAGCCTGGCCCACCCCATAGATGAACATGTCAATGGCCCAAATTCTTGGTGACGTCGACACTTCCGAGCGAGGAGGGGAAATCCAACTAAAATCACTGCATGCTTACTCTGATTTGAGAGTAGATGGCTCAAGAAATCAGGGGGGAGTGCCATCTACTATTGACAAGCAGAGAGTGTCAATTATCGGAAAAATAATTGGAGTAGATGTAGTGGATATTTTTAATTTGCATAATTGTCAATAATTATTGTGGACATTTCTGCCCGGAGTAGATGTAGTGGCCAGGCCTTGCGGCGGTGCGGCAGGCCCTAGTGAGCCTCGGCAGCTGCGGCAGCTTGGAGGAGGCCAAAAAGCTCATGGCTGGACAGGCGCCCGTGGGAGCTGGGCTTGGGTTGGGGGTTAGCGAAGCTGCCCCCAACGATTCATGAGGGTTGCTAAATATGACGCATCCAAAGGGCGAGCAGAATTCCAGCAACATTGTGGCTGTGGCCGCTTTTTGGCGCAGGTTCTGGTGGTCCATTTCTTTGGTGGGGACGCTGCCCAGGCCCCCAAGAGGATCTCGAACTGAACCGATACGCCTGTTTTGTTACATAGACGTGCATATAAACTTGTCTCCATGAGTGACCAGCAACTGCCCCAACCGCTCATCCGCAGTTTTGGTGGTCGCACCGCTTGACCCTCACCGGAAAGCCATTGTTGACTGTTTCTGGCGGTCCCCCAGTAGTGCTTTTTTACCCTTTTTTTGGGAGGGTTGCCCTACTAAAATAGACTAGAGAAACAAGTTGGGACCCTTATTCTGACCTCACTGGACTACCTAGTCAGAGAACCCGGGAAGCTCAGCTCGGGACAGCTTGCGACGCGACCGGCCGATCGGCCGATCCAGGGGCTGGGCGCGTTGCTGCTGGCCCCGGCCGAGAAGCTGCAGCCGCCGCCCACGCTGCGCTGCCCGCGCCGCGGACGTGAAGAACCCGGGAGGGGGTCGATGGCCGTGAATCGCCATGTGGGAATGGGTCAAAATTACACCAGCAGGGGACCGCAGGTTTTGGTCCATGTTTTTCCACTTACTAGGGTTCCCCCTATTTGCGGTACCGAATTTGCTCCACAGCCATGTGAAGGAAAAAGGAACCTCCGAGTATCCGGATGTTGCTGGAGCATCAAAGTGGGGGCGGTTCAAATTCCCCCAGAAAGGAACGCCCCCCTCCCACGTCCCAGAGCGAGTCAAGCTTTGCCCGATAAGCCGATCTGGGATATGCGGCCTTGGGTAAGTTGAATGGCCGAGGCAAAGGGCAGGTCCAGGCCGTGTGCTCCAGGTCAGTGCTTGGTCACTTGCGGCAACTGCCATCCGCTGCTTGGACTGAGCGCAGGGAGGCGGGCCCTTTGAACACCAGGAAAGAGAGGCATGCACTAGCTGCATGGCCTGCAATGCTTGGCGATGCGTCGAACGACAGGGCTCAGAATGGCATGGAGCACTTTGTCAAGGATTGTGGTGGGCACAGGTCAAAATGTGTCTTTGTTCTCCAAAGTTTGGCGACATTGGCAGGCGCATCGGCAAGTCAAGGATGAAAACTTCAGCGCACAATATTGAGGGAATCGTTTGTTCATGCTTGCTCTTTGGCGAGCAAATCGTGGGCCCATGGGCTTATCCATGCAGGTTGCCAGAATGCAACCAGGTTGGCTTGCTTAGCCGGCGTGATGGCTAGCAGCGTGGCCACAACTCAAAAGCGACCCATAGCTGCCCGAAAAGTAGGGGCAAACTAAACCTGCCCATTTTATGTCTTTGGCGCCTATATGGCACCACCATGTAGTGGATCAGGATTCAGGTTTTGGGATCATTGTGAATTTGCAGAAGGACGCCGCCAGAGTTTCGGATGCCGACCTTGGTTCCGCCCTGTGACCCCAACGCCCTTTTGACTCGTATGGAACTCCCCCCCCTCCCCAAATGCCCCCCCCCCCCCCGCATCAGTGTTTCTCCAAACATGGATGCCCCTTTGGTCCGGGGACGCCTCAAAGCGCCGCTGGGCCTTAGGACCTCGTGGAGCGCATCGAGGCCTTTCTCGGGCTCAGCGCCGCGAGGCCGGGAAAACCATCGCCCCCGAAAAAACGGCAACAGGTGGGGGTCGTTTTTAAGACCCCTCCCTCCCCTCCCTCCCAAATGGGGTTGTCGTTTTTAAGGGCCCCCCCCCCCCCGTTCTTTTTTTTGGGCCGTTGTCCTGTTGGGAAACCCCAGCCAAAACCACAGAACAGAATGGTGCCCTCAAGCATTAAGGTTTACCCCTGCGAAGCTTCCTCTAATTCGTCCAAGGCCGTGAGGAGTGCGTTTTCTGGGAGTTTCAGGAGTTTCAGTTTTTTGCGGCACACAGTGCTACGATTTCCCGAATATCCAGTTACGTTCTTTTCTTCAGGAGGACGAAGGTCCAGGTAAATCCCTTCTTGTTTAGTGGTTCGAACCCAAAAGATGATCGACCCCAGCAAGCATTTGCTTTTTCAGGACAAGCCCACCCTATGCACAACCCTTTTGGGCTTGACGTCTGCGGCTTGCAGTCCTTGTCTGTTCTTGAGGGCACCAGGCGCAACGGCAGAGAGAGCGAGAGAGCGAGAGAGAGAGAGAGAGAGAGAGAAAAAAAAAGAGGACCCTTTTGGGCCTGTGGCCTGTGTTGAAACGGAGCGCAAGAGGCAAGAGCTCTGCCAGATGTTTGGCCAACTGCAACGGCAGCTGCCCACGAAGCATTCGATAATTCAATACGTGGCACCCAAAACACAATCACGGCGCACACGCTGCACTTGTGGCCCTGAAACGTTTTAGGTCCCTTGCCCTAAGAACCCGCATTTTAGGGTCGCAGATCACGCGGGTTTGGGTCGCAGATGCCAGCGCATGTTGCCCGGATAGTTTTTTTTTTTGTCGCAAATGACGCGGTGCGTAGCATGTTTGCTAGTTTTTCTCTTCTTCTTTTTCTCCGCGCGGCAGTCATTTGGTGCCATGTTTCGGATCGGCTCATAGCATTCGTGGCCATTTGGGCCTCTTGAGGTTAAGCAACACGGCCAGGGCGGGGCAGAGAAGCTTTCGGGCCACAGGACATACGTGAAAATGTGAAAACACAGGTTAGGGCAGGTGTGACAGTCGTTTTTTTGTTCGGACGCGGTCTGTTGGGGTGGCAGATGCTGGGTGCCTTGGCCCGCTTGACCAGAGGCCCTCGCCCAACTTGCAGACCTGGCCGCTGGCTGAGGGCCAGGATGGGCAGCAGCGGAAGTTGGAGGCAGGGGGGAAGGAGCCGCAGCTCCATTTCAGTGCTATGGTTGGATATATTTGGATATGTTGGATCTTCAACCTTTGTTTTTTTTTTTTTCAGAAATGTGCGCTTTCCCTCCGGCTACATTTAAGCATGCTTGTTGTGGCAAACGGCTCACAAGCCTGCGAATAGACAGATGCTAAATGTTTTGCGCAGGCAATCGCCAAACAGATCAGGCCTGCAGCTGGCACTTGTGATTGCTTGGTTGTGTGCCGATGGTAGTTTCATCACAGCTTGGTGATGCAATTGCTATGCTAGATGTCCGATCACTGACTTATTCTGTCATCACTCAATTAGGGACAAAGCAGGCACGCAAGCCCTTGCACCGACACAAGTTGGCAAGTGCTTTGTCACCAGGTCAGTTGTTGACCTGCGTTTGAAGTGTTGTTTACAAGGCCAGTGCCGCTTTCTTCTTCCGCAAAGCAGGCTTGATGCATGTGCAGTCCACGCGGGCCTGAAAAGACTAGACTACAGCGACGCCACATTTTGCTTCAGGGCAACAGGCTTTGCCGTCGGGTGGGATAGCGCAATGCATTGGAACCGCCATTGGAAGTTTGGTCCCCTACTCTCCTTCGTGATCCTTGCAGCCCTTTTTTTGCCTCCTCAGCAGTCGCTGATAGGCATGATTTGGTTGCAACTTGTTTTGTTGGTAGTATGGGTATGACGCAAAATAGGGAATCGGACCCCCACATGATTGGTCCTCCTTGTGGCTTCCCTTTGAGCCAGCCGAATAAATCCACACGAGCGCCCGTTTGCGAGAAATCACAGGCGCTGCGCTGGGAGGCCTTCTTTGTGGACTGCCTAGGCCTGAGGGTGGGGGGCCAGTTTTTTTTCTTCTTCTTTTTTTCTCCCCCTCTGTGTCATCTACTTTGGCATCTGGTGTATTTCCAAAATGCCGTCACAATGGCACTTGCAAGCGGGGTTTCACTTCGCGCAAAAAACTTGCCCACGAGCAGTGCTTTCTGCTTGTATTTTGGTACCTTGGGGCTTGGGCTGGGCGGTTGGGAGGCCCCCCCTTCTGTGTTGAAACCCCGATTCCCTTTCTCATGGCCCGCTCGCTTTCTTTCCAAACAGGCCAACGTCATGGAAGCTCGTTTGGATACTTGATGTGGCTACCCTAAAAGCCAAGGCCACGAAGCTTTTCCGCCACCACGAGAGCTATTGCCAGATTCTCGACGGCCGGTTGCTTTTGAGGGACCTTCTTTGGGGTTTGTCAAGCAGCTTCGACTGTTGTAAGGCAGGTTTTGGTCCTTGTAGGGAATGGCAGGTTGTAGTCCTTGTTTCCATTTTCCTTGGTTCCAGTTTGGGCACCTGTTTTTGACCCACACCCATTTGTGGGATGCCTGGGCTGGTGGCTTCTTCTCGTTGGGTTGATGTCAGGGGCGCAGCCGCGGCGCCCCGCGGACTGGCGGCAGGAGAGGGCCAGCCCGGATCTGGTCTTCAGCCTGGGCCAGGAGCTGGGCAACGTTGGCTGAAGAAATATCCCACTAGGTCCCCCAGTAGTGCCCTTTTACCCGTTTTTGGGGGGAGGGTTCCCCTACTAAAATAGACTACAGAAAAAAGTTGGTACCCTTATTCTAAGCTCTCTACTGGAGGATCTAGCCAACCACCCCAGGAACCAGGCACCCGAAGTTCTGCAGAACACCCTGGTGTTTTGTGTTTGGTGAGTGCTTGGGCTTGGCGGATTTTCGGTGGAAACTCCGGGGGCTGGTTTGTATGAGGGGATGGGTCAGCGAAACGGCCCGAGGGTCAATAAGCGAGCGCTTTCCTGCTCGCCTGCTATGCTTGACTGGACAAACTATTATTATCTGTTCGGTGAGTAAGGTTAAGCTGCAGGGCTCTTTCTGTTGCAGTCATGTCTGGAAACACGAGGGTGGCAGACATATCTCCAGCAGGAGAAGAGACAGTGCTTGTAGCAACCGTCCTCTCACCACTGCCGAGGGAGGCCTTGTGAGAATTGGGAGCAACACCCGCCCCTCTCCCCCAGACTCCCTCCAGGGAGGGGTTGGCCCGTCACTGGATTCCGAGGGGTGCTTTAGTGATAAGGGCCATGGCCCAGGCCTTCGTGCCAAGGCAGCGATGGGCCGCGCAGCCTGTGGGTGTCGCTGCTGGATGAGAAGGCCGGGCTGAACTGGCTGTTGGGCCGGTGTGGAATGTGGCCCGGGGGATCAAAAGTGGCCATCCGCCCAGCATTTGGGATGTATGCATACATATATAGATGCATGTACGTATATATCTCCACATGCATATGCGTGTGCGGTTTGCGAGTGCGCGTGTGTGTTTCTGAGTGTTTCTGAGTGTGTGTGTGTGTGTGCGTTTGCCAATGAAATTTAATGAAGCACATCTTGTTGCAAGTCTTCGTAGCATTGTTCCAAGGGCCTCTCAAATGGCGCTGTGAGTGGCTGAGGCTGTGCCGGACGCGGTTTTCCGAGACTTGGCTGCTACATTGCTTGGCTCGTGGAAGGTTCCTCATAGGGCACTTGTATTCCACCACGTGAGCCGGAACCCAAACATCCAAATGATGGTCAGTTCTCGCATGGGTAGTCGCTAAAATGTGTTTTGGTTTCTCTTTTGCTTTCCAAGCAGTTCACACATGATGGGCCCTAAAATAGATTACACTCCCTGGAATTAAACAGGAAGCTCCGAAGCCTTTTTTTTTTTGCAGGTTAGTCGAAAAAACCAGGCTTTTGATAATGCTTACATAGAAGTCCTTGAATGGGGTTTTTTGGTCGGCTTCCGCATTTCAGAACACGCAGCTGACTTCCGACGATGGTTTGGGCAACGGCTCCCTCAAACCCTCAAAAACCCTCCCCCCGCCCCCCCCCTAACACAAACCGAGCTCCCCGCACACCCCTTCCAGAACTAGCCCAGAACCCCACCTAGGTACGCCGTACGACTGGGCATGTGGGGGTGGGATTGACTCGGAAACAGCATTTTTTAGCATTAGCGGGCGGACACACCGTAATTTAAAGCGTACCGGGGAAATGCCGCTTCACGACTTTCGCCGCTTCACGACTTTTCTCAGGGATATGCGAAACTGCTCCTAACAGAATCATAG